GCAGATGGTCTCCTCTGCAGTTGGTTGCTTAGTAACAGAAACTCACAGTGATGGTGAGAAGTCAGAGCAGAGGTTTCTTTTCTCTGAGCGGCAGCGAGGTGGAACTGTTGCTGACAGGAAGTGTTAGCGACGCTTTGTGTTCACCGCTGGTAGTCGAGTCATGAGAACCAATCAGAAGAGGACGTGGGCGTCACCGTTTAAAGTCTCAGTTTGTGTTCAGACTAAAACACAAAACCAGAGTTTTCAAACTGAAACCAGATCAGTTTTCTGGTTAATTATGTAAAGAAGTTGTAGAAGTTTGTGTTTTCAACGATCTTCCTAACTAGTTATATTAAAAGTGACCTTAAAGTTCTCATGAAACGTGGGGCGACCATTTTGGAGCAGAGCTGCATTTAACCCAGGACCATCAGTGAGCTGTAACTCAGACCAGCTCTCTGGAGAAGAACGCCCTCGCTCCACCAGCCAATGTTTTCTTTTCTTTGTCCTGAATAAATGTAATCAGAGCGAAGGTTCTCACAGAATGTTTCCATGCTCCCTGAGCGAAGTGATGGTTGAAGTTTCCTGTGGCTCAGTCAGACCAGAGATTTGATCCAGAGGTGCGGTGGAGTACGCCCACCTCTCGTCAGGGGGATTTACCACATACCTACTCAGAAAGAGCCACAGATGCGTCTCAGTGCAGATGTTACGGCCATGTTGCAGTCGCTCATGTACAGAAGTGGTCGGTTCAAATTCAGCCCTCCGTCCATGAAAATCTGGATCAAAACCTCCTCAAACATCTACTGTAGCTAACAAAGACTTATACACTCGTTTAAAACCTTAAGACACTTTCACTCAACTGTAAATCAGACATCTTGCTAATAAAGGAACCAACTCTAATCAAACGAAACACTCAACAACAAATGTTGGTGAGAGCTTCAGATAGAATAGAAGATAGTGGTAGAATAAATCACAGCCTCGAGGCTGCTGGGCCGAGTCGGTTCAACTCAGGTTCACGTCACTCAAATCTCAAACAGTAAAGTCAGGAGGCTTGAACCAGGTTTTCAGCCTCCGGCCAAATGGAGGTGACTGGAATTAAGTTTGTGTTTCTGTCAGGTTTGAAAGATATTTGATGGAAAACTTTATTCTCTGCAGCCGACACAACTCGTTCTGAACCCTGAGCTTGTTGAATAATTCAGAGCGTCACTGTGAACAGCTTCTCTGGAAGAAATGAAAACTGAACCAAACCTTGTTTGTTCTGAGGATTGTTCACAGTTACAGATGTGTTCGTACAGAAGTTGTATTTTTCAGTTTCAAACAGGTTTTTCTTCATCGTCTCTCTCCAACCTACAGAATATGACACGCCCACTGACGTCGTCATATAGCTTCTCTCTAGAAAACCTGATTTTTTAAATTTAAAGCTCAACCTGTTTCTCCAACTCCTCTTCTTTCTGTCTCTGTTTTAATTTTCTTTCTCTCCAACAAAACAAGCAGTGATTACGGTCATCATATATCAATCGGATGATTATTTAGCTGATTAATTGTTTGGTTTGTAAAACTTCTTAAAAGTGTGAAATAAAGTTTTTACATTTCTCAATGTTCAGTTCTTAATTATACGAAACTGAGAAATGCAGCAAAACATTAAATCTGAAAAAATGCAACATTGAAATATCAGGAATGTTTTAATTAAAATGTTAAAAGTTTTGAATGTCATTAATATAGTCGTGGTTGTCATTATCAGTGGGGCTCGGGCAGTTTAATTACATCGTTAAATAATTTACAAACAAAACATTCACACATTTATATTTAGGAAACTCAGCAAACTCAAAGCAACTCATTCTTGGCACCTTTGCTTAAAAAAGAAAATATTTTGTTAACCAAACAAACTTAACTTTACATTATTGATAAAAGAAGCTAAAACATTG